TTGGTGTCTACCTGTCTGTTAACTGTTGGATTGGTGTCTACCTATCTGTTAACTGTTGGATTGGTGTCTACCTGTCTGTTAACTGTTGGATTGGTGTCTACCTGTCTGTTAACTGTTGGATTGGTGTCTACCTGTCTGTTAACTGTTGGATTGGTGTCTACCTGTCTGTTCACTGTTGGATTGGTGTCTACCTGTCTGTTAACTGTTGGATTGGTGTCTACCTGTCTGTTAACTGTTGGATTGGTGTCTACCTGTCTGTTAACTGTTGGATTGGTGTCTACCTGTCTGTTCACCTTTCTGTCTGTCCTCAGGACATTCTGGAGAACGACAGCATCACTCTGGACTGGATGTTTAGGTATTCTCTCATCAACGACATTGTGAAGGTGTGTCTCTTGTCCTGCTGTGTGTCCATCTCCTTTTGGGACAGATGCTAAGTGTCCACATGTCTCTATGTCCTCAGGGCATGGTGTTTCTCCACAACAGTGTCATTTCCTCTCATGGGAAACTCAAATCTTCCAACTGTGTGGTGGACAACCGTTTTGTCCTGAAGATCACCGACCATGGTCTGTCCAGCTTTCGATCTGAAGGTGACTCAGGAAACAACGCTCACACTTTCTACGCTCGTGAGTCATCATCATCTTCATCACCTGGAGGAGGGATGGGACTTAAGGTCACACTAACAATGTCCACTGTTAATACAAACAGTTTCCCTGCTTTGGTTGTTTACTTGCAGGAAAGTTGTGGATGGCTCCAGAGCTGCTCCGGATGGAGTCTCCTCCTCCTCAGGGGACCCAGAAAGGAGACGTCTATAGCTTTGGGATCATCCTCCAGGAGGTGGCGCTGCGACGAGGAGCCTTCTACCTGGAGAGTGACCCACTGAGCCCCAAAGGTGAAGAACAGGTTGTTTCTGATGTCTGAGCCAGAACTGAACCTGTCCTATGTCTCTGCAGAGATCGTTGACCGGGTGATTCTAGGTGAGTGGCCATGCTTGAGGCCCACCGTGGACCCTCAGAGTCACAGTCCTGAGCTGGGTCAGCTGATGCAGCGCTGCTGGGCCGAGGAACCAACAGAGAGACCTGACTTCAACCACATCCGCCTGCTGCTGCGCAAACACAACAAGTAAGAGCTGACGGTGATGTCATCATACAGTGATGTCATCTAAGAGCGTCACAAAGATCCACAGACTCTCAGGAAGCTTTGGATGTGTCCAAACTCAGGGGCTTTGTCCTCTGAAGGATGAATTCTTTGTCCTCCTACATCACAGTGCTGCACCGTAATATTATTCCTGTAAGAAATCAAACAGCTGGTAGAGAAATAAACATGCACCTACTGCAGGTCCATTAGTTCTTCAAATATTACATTTAAGCTAATTTTATTGTTTTATGATATTTATAATACTAATACATTGATATTTTGTTAAATTCAACCTAATTTTATTTAGCGTTGTCACGATTGCAAGGCAACAGGATGTCCACCAGGTAAGTGTGGGAATAAAGCAGAAGACTAGACCATCCAAATTCACAAACACTTCACAGTCAACCACAGACCCTAACCAGCTAGACCGGGTCCTTCGAAGTACCCAGCCCTATAAATTTGGACATTAACTGAATTAAATTATTAATATTCTTTGTGGTTCAATATTTTTACCTAACTACAAACTTGCTGTTCCACTTCATCTTTAATAATCCCTGAGTTATGAATCAGTTTGTTGATGTTTAATCCTGTAAGCGGAACAGTCACTCAGGTTAGGGTAACCAACCTCGGAGGTGAGTAGCCCTTCCTTGACTTGTGGAAAGAACCAGTTCTGTCTTGTTTGGGTTGACTCCCGACACAATCTGAATACTAAGTTTAGTCCTCTCTGCATTAGGTTACACACAGAACCCAGGCAGAAGCCTTGTATTGGTATGACCAAGTCATCTTCACCTACTGAGGATGATGATGTTCTTGTCCTTGCTGACACCCAGGTGTCATCAACATACCTGAACCAATTTATTAAAGAAGAGCCCATCCAGAGGACCCCCTTAAATTTCTTTGTTAAAAATACCCCTAACTGGAAATAAAAACATTAAAGAATTCACAAATACAAACCATCAACTGTAGCAATTTCTCAAACTGTTACTTTATTCTCTTTTTCATGCCTTATTAATGTTGGTCTGAGAGAGAAAACCCACTAATGCATGGGGGGAACATGTAAACACAACCCAGAAAGGTCTCAGGTTTGGATTAGATCTAGCAACCTTAAGTAATAGGGGCGGCTGTGGTAGAGTGGTTAGGGGAGTCCTCCTGGAACCAGAAGGTCGCTGGTTCGATCCCCTGTCCAGCTCTCAGTTGTTGTGTCCTTGGGCAAGACACTTAACCTCTAATGCCTCTATGTGTCCCATCAGTGTATGAATGTGATTGGCACTGATTAGTCTCCATAGATGATTGTACATGTTATCTTTGTAGAGATCTCATGGTGCGTTCACACCAAACGTGATTTCAGCATCAGGAGCATCAGGTTTACATACAAAGTCTATGGTGGACGCACTTCAATCAGCGTCAGGAAGTGCTGCGGCGCCTCAAGAGCGATTAGAGCAGCGCGATTTGAACGATTTGAACGATTTGAAC